CATAACATAGCAAAGCTTTAAACATCCTACACTTGGATAGTTCTGTCTCCGCCCAGAACCTGGCTCTGCTAGGTTGGAGGTTTAGCGATCTCTGCTACCCACAGCCCGGGCTGCAGACCAGCGGCGTCACCTGGGGACAGGTTAGAACCGCAGAGTCCCAGGTCCTAACCCGGACCCACTGAATCAGAGTCTGCATTTCAATGCAGTCCCCTTGCGATGTGTGTAATACATACATTAAAAAGTGAGAAGTACTCTCCCTAGAATGTCTGATTTAGCACCTGTGCCGTAGGGATCAGGAATCTACATTTTAAATAAACATTCTAGGTCATTTTGGTTCAGATGGACTTCTGACAACACTTTGGGGGGAAAAAGTCTGTTTCTTGCTCCAGGTTATATTATATTCCTTGAGGTAATCTGAATTTCCTAGCTAAAATTAGACATATCTGACACACTCGATTGTAAAGAAAAATTTGAAAGGCTAAAAATAGACGTTAATAAAACCTTCAATGAATTTTTAAAAACCAGTATGTCCAAGGTAAAATGAACATGATCGAGAATCAGAATCCCCTGGGGAACATTTTCAAAACACACAGCTCACTCTCCTGCTGGGGAGAGTGGGGTTCTATCAGTCTGCCCCCTCCTAAGGAATTATTGCTGTAGCAAATAAATGACTGTTACCAATGACAGTCACCATTAGAGATGCTGTATAGAACTGGGATGATTTAACAGAGACCTCATAAGGATGTCGCACTTGGATAATTAATTAATGCTGATTTAGAGACAAGGTTTTAGGCCCCAAATTAGAATACCAAAAGGCTATTTATAACTATTATATCCAACCCATTACTGGAAGTTTGTGTAACTGTTGTGCTGCTTTGCACTCCTTTCTTTTGCAGAAGTAGTAAATGAACAAAAATTCCCCCGTCCACGGTTCTTTGCTTATACCTACAGGAAACATCGTTTTAAGAGGTTGTTTCTTAAATCTTCTTGCATTAAAAAATGTGTGCACCTTCACACAGGCCGACTTTTTTTTTTTTTTTTTTTTTCAGACAGAGTCTCACTGTGTTGCCCCGGCTAGAGTGAGTGCCGTGGCGTCATCCTTGCTCACAGCAACCTCAAACTCCTGGGCTCAAGCAATCCTCCTGCCTCAGCCTCCCGAGTAGCTGGGACTACAGGCACGTGCCACCATGCCCGGCTAATTTTTTCTATATATTTTTTTAGTTGTCCAATTAATTTCTTTCTATTTTTAGTAGAGACGGGGTCTCGCTCTTGCTCAGGCTGGTCTCGAACTCCTGAGCTCAAACAATCCGCCCGCCTCGGCCTCCCAGAGAGCTAGGATTACAGGCGTGAGCCACGGCGCCCGGCCCAGGCCGACTTTTAGATAAAAGCATAAAGTAAAAATTATTTGAACTAATTTCAGGAGCTGGGAAATATATGTGGTGAGATAGTATCTCTGGTGTTTCCCTTTTCGTTAGCACTGATACATTTCGCTGTAGAAACGTCAACATGTTTCACTGCTTCAGGGGGTAATATACCGCATGTGCACACTCTTTCTTTTCTAAAATCTGAAAAAACTGCTGTCTTCCACAAGTCATCTGGATACAGGATTTTAGACCTGTAGCTTTAGGGGAGAGAGAACCTGGGCCATGGTGGTAGCCGGGGGTGTTGAGAAGTGGTCACACTTTAGATATAATTAGCAGGTAGGGCTAACAGGATGTCCTTACAGAGTGCACGCAGGTATAGAGGAAGTAATCTAGGATGACTCCGCATTATTTGGCCTTAGCAACCGGTGATGAAGGTACCACCACCTGGGGTGGAAAAACCTGAGGGGCAGAGGAGGGACAATTCTGGACATGTTGGGTTCGAGATACCCATTTTCACCCAGCTGGAAAGGGTAAACTGGCAGTTGATACACAAGTCTAGAGTTTGGGGAGAAGTCTGGGCTGAAGATATATTCTTATAATTTTTTTCCTCCTCGATTTTCTTTTAGAACATCTTTATAGTCTTTTTTCGGGGGGCTCGACACAGTCACAATATAAAGAAAAGCTCTGTTTCACAACCTCTTCCATTAAAAAAAAACCTTTCATACCCACAGACATATATACTTATTATTTGTCAATTAAAAATAAAATCTTTAAAAATATCTTTCGACGTCAAGACAAACACAATTTAAGTCTGGGGCTATTTGGAGGAGGCTGCCAAATTGTGGCCATCATGAACATCGCCTGAAAATTCATGAAATGAGGGGAGCCAAACTCTATTCTCAGATCTGTGGAGAGCAGAAGGATGGCTTCGGAAGTTATTATGCCAGGAGTGAAGAAAATACTCAGTGTAGAAATAAATGCCGGGGGACTGAAATAGTGCTAAGGTTCCTTTCTGTTTTCACAGTGAATAGACACCAGTTACTTGTCCTGAAATAAAAGCTGAGAACCCTTCCCCTATTTAGAATATACGCTATAACCGTAAGACAGAGAGCTAAGAAGTATTTAAAACATTCTCACATGTGCTAAACTTAACCAGCAGCTATTGCTGAAGACGAAGGGGGTGGAATGTAATGGTTGGCAGGAGCGTCTAGGGGCAGCAGTGCTATCTCTGGCAGGCAATACCCCTGGCACAGGATAAAAGCAACCCTTTCCCCGGGCAGGTCTTTAAGATCACACTCTCTCTGAATTGCTCTCAAGCGCCCCTGAAACTCCATATTTCCTCAATTTTATTCCGCTGAATTTTATTGGTGAACTGCAATGCTATTTTTAATTCATGTACATGTTGGTATGGACAGAAACAATGGTAATAAAGACAAACTTTTTAAAAAGAAAAAGCATCATAAGGAATACTTAGAAGGATGTGATCTATGTGAGAATGCCTTTTGACATTAAATAGCCAGATTTTTATGACTTAAGGTGGCAGAATAATGTAAATACCATGTTTACTTAAGTATGAATAAAAATCCCACTGTATGATCATGAAGAGATCAAAAAAATAGTCGAGAAAGAAAGCAGAAGCAGAGAGGGAAAGAGGAGAAATTACAAAAATGTGAATTTCAAGAAATAAACGATTATGCACATATACAATATTTTGAGAGGTGCCATCTAATTCCCCTAAAAATTACACTGATTACCCAGAACATATAGCACTACATCAGAATTAGAGAATCTTAATCTCTCCTTAAATGGACCATGACTCAGAAGAAAAAATTTAACTGAGAGTCACATACAAAAAGCAGCTTTAACTTTCTCCTGGAAAAAATTACAAATGTCAGTATTCTTTTCACCTGGTAAAAAATTACAGAGTTTTGGGCCGGGCGCGGTGGCTCA